CCTGCCCACGCTGAGTCAGAGCTGCCGCTAAATGGAGGTCTAGGGTTGTCTTTGGCTTAATGCCTCCATGAACCAGATTGATTCAATGGTACAGGCTACCCCTCTTCTTCACCCATTTAGAACAGCAGATTGCTATTGCTAATTGCTCTCGTTTAAGCCCTAATGAAAGTAGCTCCAGCACTGATTGTGACCCAAAACGTCTATCCTGAACAAATGTCACTAAATAGCTAATGAGCGATTTCATCATTGGAAAGAGGTAATTGGGACGGAGTGGGCAGGGTGGTGCCTTGCGGCTTTAACAGTCCTTCCTAGGGTGTAGTAAGCGAATGTCCCATTTAATCCTTGCTATTCTGCTCTGTAGGGTTACTGTCTCCTCTCTGAAACTCTGCATTTTCCTTCTTAGGCTTCATTTGCCTCACGTAACAGTAATACACAACACAACACTGCGTTACAGTTGTGAAACTCTCCCATTTCACCAAGGTAACGTGCTCTTAGAAACAGAAAAGCAGGGGGCTGCTGCAGAGTCACAGCGGCTTGGCAGGATTTCTCTTTAGCTAGTCTCTTTGCAAGAAGCATGGCGTGGCTCCGGAGAGCGGTCTCATGCTGCTGTGTGGGCTCAGTTGGCATTGCCTCTGCTCTCCAAATTGCACCCTGCGGGAGGTCAATGCACTCAGCCCTGGCACACATCCCTTCTGCCTGGGAGATGTTTCAGAAGAAAAACAGCAGAAGCTGAGTTTGGTGAGAGGGATGTGCGATGGTGTAATATGGGCCATACCAAAAAGTAGGAGGCATTATTCCTCGGCGGGGGAAAATGGGTCATTTCTCATCTCTTATCAGTATTTTTTAGGTGGACATCTCTCAGCTGGCACCTCAGGTGGCACTCACTTGACTCCCCTTCGAATATGAGCCTGCAGTGCGCCCAGGTGGCCAAGGCCAACAGCATCCTGGCCTGTATCAGAACTAGTGTGGCCAGCAGGAGGAGGGAGGTGATCGTGCCCCTGGACTCGGCCCTGGTGAGGCCGCACCTCGAATCCTGTGTTCAGTTTTGGGCCCCTCACTACAAGAAGGACATTGAGGTGCTGGAGCGTGTCCAGAGAAGGGCAACGAAGCTGGTGAAGGGCCTGGAGCACAAGTCTGATGAGGAGCGGCTGAGGGAACTGGGGCTGTTTAGCCTGGAGAAGAGGAGGCTGAGGGGAGACCTCATCGCGCTCTACAACTACCTAAAAGGAGGTTGTAGCGAGGTGGGGGTTGGTCTTTTCTGCCAAGTAACAAGCGATAGGACGAGAGGAAATGGCCTCAAGTTGCACCAGGGGAGGTTTAGACTGGACATTAGGAAAAAATTCTTCACCGAAAGGGTTGTTAGGCCTTGGAACAGGCTGCCCAGGGAAGTGGTGGAGTCCCCATCCCTGGAGGTATTTAAAAGACGTGTAGATGAGGCGCTTAGGGACATGGTTTAGTGGTGTGTTAGGTTAACAGTTGGACTTGATGATCTTAAGGGTCTTTTCCAACCTAAATGATTCTATGATTCTATGACTGCAGTCAATTAGACCTCAAGTGGAACCATCCACTTGCATCCTTGCAGATACCTACATCAAAGCATTTTAATCTGTGGATGCTTCCATGGAGCGTCCCCATCTTAGCTGGGAAAGGGACCTGAAAACTTTCTATCTTTTAGATCTTACCTTTGAGTCCCACCTTCCCGAAGGTGCTGGGAGGATTTAGCTCAGGGAAATACGGAAGAAGGAATGAGTTTCTGAAAGTCTGTAGTTCTCCTCCCCAGCAGCAACATCCTCCAAAAGTCAGTTTTATCCTTCAGACTCAAGTTCACTTTGAAGAGAAACATGGGTGAAATGAGTGGGTTTTCCAAGTAGCCCTGCATATTTGCAGTCTTTTTGTCACTTGCTGGTGCCTGCTGCGATTTCTTGTTATTTCCATCTCAAGGGAAGAATAAAGCAGTTATTTCCATTGTGTACTGCCATCCTGAGAGCCACTCTGTGAGAGACACAGCTGGTCCCTGGGTGAGGCACGACCTCACAGTCCCCCCAAAGCATGGGGATAACAAGATCATCTGTTCTGGGGAAAGCTCAGCAGACTTTCCTCTGCAGGGCTCTCACAGGACCCCATGAAGAGTCCCTCAAACGGAGTTCCCCAGAAACATGAGTGAGAAACACAAGATGTGCAGTGCAGCTCATCTCAGGTCATCACCAAGACCAACAGGATAAGCCGACCCTTTGGGGTCGTCCAGCTGTACTGCATCCCAGAGTTCATCTACAAAAACGTTTTTTTAAAATCCTATTTAGCAAGCCTCCACTCCCCAGGATTTCAGCTTTGCCCATTAACACCTCCTCCCTGTCTACCTACCTACCCACCTCCTAAGCTGGCATAAAGTCAAGAGCACAAACTTATCTTTGCTAATATTTGGACAGCCCCTGTAAGCCCCCATGACCCCAAGACCACACAGGTGTTCCCTGAGACCCTCTTGCCCTGAGATGCCTTACAAATTCAGCCGGGAGCAGTCCCAAGGGCTAGTCTCCAGCTGCGGTTTTACCCTTACAAGTCTGCGCAGTTCTGCGGGGTTTGTTAATCGTTCTCTTCTCACTTGCTGGTTAGCGGTTGCGGTGCCAGCGTCCCACGTGCTGCAGAAAGCGCGGATGAAGCTCATCAGCAGGGAGCAATGCTTGGAGCGGATCCCACAGCTAATGGAGAACATGCTGTGTGCTGAGCTGGAGAAAGGAGAAAGAGGCACCTGCCAGGTAAATTAAATGGGCTCCCGGACGGCCACGCTGCCTACGGGGGCACAGAGACATTGGAGGAGAAGCTCCTTCGCTTCAGGAATGAACATTGATCCTGCCCACGGCTTCCTGCGGTTGCTAAAGCTTCTTTGCAGGAGGCCAGGGCAGGATGCTCAGGGGCCAAGGAACTACCTGCAAAGGCATATTGACCTGGGCAGGGGGGCTGCAGGACTCTTGGGGTCGGAAAGCAGTGGTGGTGCTGGAAACAAAACACCTTGCTGAGCAGACGGGCCTCTCCTCACACTCTCCCCCCCGCTCCGATTCCCTCCCCACAGAGAAAGGAACAGGAGCTCCGCAAGGGAAACGACGAGCTGAAAGGAGAGCAAGGGACAAGAGTAGTTCCCAACAAGTCCCCTTGGATGGGAAACAGTTTTGGATGGCTCTGGGCAGAGGAATTTGGACTTTTATCTCACAGCAAATTGAAAAACCCAGTGTTTGCTGTGGCCAAGCTGTGCAGTGGTGGGAGCGATGGGAGGAGAGGTCTCCTGTCCCTGCGGAGAGGGCTCAGCACAGCATGGGCTGCGTCCCCTCAGCCCTGGGCTGGGCCATGCTGCTCTATTGCTAGATTAAATAATGAAAGGAGACACAAAAGTTTGTCCAGGAAGGTCAAAGCAAAAGAATTGGGTGGGAAATTGAGTCCAGTATGTTTAACTTGAATATTAGAAACCTTTCTCAGGTGAGATCTTGGCTCTGATACAAATGTCCTTTGATAACATGGCAGTTTGGTCTGTGGCTGCCATCCTATTGCAATGAGTTAGTGATGTAGGATGATGGGCTTTTGAAGCTAAATTATAGAGTTCAAGCAGTATTTGATATCAGGGACTGCCAAGGGGAGAGAGCTGACACAAACACCCAGATATGGGAAAACCTCACTCAGAACTTGTGCCCTCAGAACATACTCCATCCGCAGGATCTATGTCCTGATGTCAAACAAAGTCTGCAAGCCAAAAATCACCTTTTCTTTCACAGCGTCCAACCTCCAACCTCTCCTCTGAGTGCCTGGTAAGGACTGAGCTCTCCCTGCAGCCTCAGCTTTAGGACTAAGGTCTCTGTCCTCTGCTGGGCAAGGGTTTTCTTAGACGTGTGCATATATTTGCAGGGGGACAGATGGGCAGACATGTACACACAGCTTCATCCTGTAGGAATCATTCATTGAGGGAACTAAACCAACACCCAGGACAGAGAGAGATCCCCTGTCCTTCAGGCAAAGGCAGCGGGTACAGGGATCGTGGACTGCAAAGCCATTGCCATCTGGGCCGTAGCTGGGTAGCGGAGGCGAAGTTTTGCTTTGCTTTGCAAAATCATTCTTTGATTAGCCAGAGAGCATCTGTCTCTGAAACCATTCATCTAGTGACTTTCACCTCCATTAAATTCAATCAAAAATTTTAAAAAGAAAACTGCCACAGGATAACATTAACATGATTAAAGAATGCACTTCCCAGCCCAGCCTTAAGTTCTGCAGCTGAATTATGCTGGTGAAATAGCGAGAACACTTGTACCTCAACAAAATGAATCTCCTGTATTCAGAAAGCTGATGAGGGTGCTATTTTGATCTACAATAATGTTAGAGTCGTTTGAGAAATGAACTAGAAATGTGAGATTTCCAAGCAGTGGAAGTACACAACGATTGCATGTGTGATAATGCTCACAACCCAGCAACTGCCCACTTTTAGTGGAAACTTGACCAGGCAGAAATGTCTTGCAACCTGAAATAACAAGAGCAAGACAAAACCACACCCTAGGCTAGAAGTGGAGCTCTTCAGGAGAGAAACAGGTGACATGACTTCATCAGAATTTGTTAATTTGTTGGAGGGGAAGCATTTTGCTGGTGGATGCTTTGCTGGGAAGCGCTGATTGAAGTCAGGTAGGGCACATTTTGGCTTTGCTAGGCGGGTTCAGAAATCTGGTGGCTTGCCCATAGTAGGCTGCCTGGTAATGAACTGGGAGAGCAGGTCCAAACCTGATGCTTGCTCTGCAGCATGGACCACTGGACACCCAATTCATCTGCCCCGGGCAGATAGCGAGGCACACTGTAGACAGTGCAATCTATCAAGCTACGTATGTCTATAAAGATTATGGGGTTTGTGTCAAATGAGAATGAGGCCAGATTTCAAAATACTTAAGTCCTTTACAAACTCAGCACTGTAAAGGAGGTAGAGCAGCCCTGGGCACGGTTTTCGTCTATGCCAGCTAGCTGTCTCCTGGATGATTTCCAGACACAGCTCAAGCTTTTGCATGGGTCAGGAGCCACCCACAGCACAATCATAGAATTATAGAACCATAGAACCACAGAACCATAGAACCATAGAATAGTTTGCCTTGGAAGGGATCTTTAAAGGTCATCTAGTCTAAACCCCCTGCAATGAGCAGGGACATCTTCCACTAGATCAGGTTGCTCAGAGCCCCGTCCAAGCTGACCTTGAATGTTTACAGGGATGGGGCAGGATCACTTTGGATCTTGGCACCCCAGTTTAGAGGCCAGGAAGGAGCAGCAGCGCAGGCAAAGCAGACACCCCTGGTCAGGGAACAAGCCCTGGAGATGCTGAGCTTGCTGGTGGTCACAGTAAACCTGGAAGCCATGCATTGCACAGATGCATGATCTGTCTGGACATGAAGTAGACAAAAGCCTTATGTTAATCTTACCTGAGCTTTGCTGAGAATCAAGATACATTTGTTCATGTCTGGAGCCAGGTTAAGATGGGCAAGTTCCATCTAGACCCGAGGTTGTAGGTCCCCATGTTCCTAATCTGGATCCAAAGGATTACCATCCTAGGTCTTTGCACACTGCCTGCCATTTGTGTGCTAGATTTTTCCCGTTGCAGCAAGCTGTTTTTTATGAGTAACTAAAGCCACACAGATATCTTCACCTAGGCATCATGTAGAAGTTTTATCCTATTGACCACCACCTTAATATCCCCATGTGGCAAGAGGACATGAATAGAAAGGCTCAGACATTTCACCATTGTACTAGTATGAGACAAGACTAATTTGTGGATCACTGACTATATTCTTATAATAACTCAAGGAGATTGAATAGCAGAGCTGGTGAGTATTTGTACTTCAAAAAAAATCCATTCACTTAAAAAGAAAAATCTATTGTATACCAATTCCCTAGCGGTTCTGCAGACAAATATATAGATTGACTGTGAATTAACACTAATAGGATCTGTAATTGACTTATAGTTCTATTTAGTCACAAACATTAGCATTAATGGATGTTCATGGGGTAGAAGTGCCAAAGAACAAACACTAGAGATGGCCTATGTGTTATTTTTTTGTGTGCTACATTTCTTCCATGACCCTATGAACCACAATTGATGTCTAATTCCTTGTTTTCTTAAGCATCTTTTGTTAGCCTCTGATGCAATGGTAACTTGAACAACAATTAGAGTATAAGGGACTCACAAAGCAAATGCCTCTTCAGTGTCCTGCCTATCCAGACAAAATTCAGTAAATGGCCCAATTATATTTCAGAGAGTTTCTGCAAAGGAGGTCTGTGGGGGTAGCTCTGCGATGTGGTCATTAGGACAGAGTGTGTTCAGCTGGAAGTCACAGTTCACGTACAGTTCAGGTCAGCAGCAGATGAAGGGGGGCCCAGCCCTGGCCTGACTTTCAGGGGAAGGAATCATTGTGTGGCCACAAACCCGCAGTGGGGTGGTTCCAGCTCAGCTTCACCGTGCCCTACACCGTCCCCTGGTGTAAGACTGGTTGGAGTCATGGGCTGAAGGTATCTACCCCTTTCCACTGACTGTAGCAGGAGGTGATCTTGGCCATCTCTGATAAATATCTGAAATGATGCTAGGATGCAGCTAGGGCTCTGGGTTTTCATTTCTTTAGTTCTATGAAAAAGGCAGAGGAGGATCTCATTCCTGTCCTGCCCACATATGCTGTCAGCAGTTTGGAAAGGGCAAATGCCCTTTACAGCATCTGGGGTGCTCAGGGCTCTCACCCCTCATAGCTATAGTGATAGCAGTAGTTGTTGCACAACCCTGGGTGGGATTTATCCGGCCAGATACAAATGTCTTTTCTATAGCCATCTGCATCTACCGAATCATCTTTCCATCAACAGGGAGAAAAAAAGCACTTCCGACATGTAATTCATTGAGCCTGTCTTAACCATTTATTTAAAATGAGATAAATCCTTGTACGAGTGCTTATTGCTCCCCATTAACTAAAAGCAAGCCCAAGGTGTCTAGCTCACAGGGAGACACATGGCTCCAAGGCAGGACAGTTGCCTACATCTAAGTTTCCAGTGCTATTTTAGATATCCCAGGATATCCCCCTGGCATCCCACTGCCCCCATCTCAAACCATGCCCCAGCGCCAGTTTATGTGACTGCAATGGGAGCTTGACACTTGCACTGGAAACACCAAGGAGAGGTGATCAGTCTGGAGCTGAACTCACCCCCCGCACCCTCACTTCGTCTATGCGTGAGAGTGCTAAAACCGTGCAGAAGTGACGAAAGCTCTTGAATCCTTTTATAAGTTCTTGCATCCTTTTATAAGCTCTTGCATCCTTTTACTGACGCTAACGTGGCTCCAAAACTGCAAAGGAAGACTTGTAAAATAGAATTTTTTTAAAGAAAAATTCTGCAAATGAAAATTGGGTCCATACAGGTAAATTATCAGAGATGCAAGAAAAAGGTCACAAACCAGGGAAGCCTGGTGAATCCTTCAGGCTGTTCAAAATATCTGAACGGAGGTGGATAGAAGATGGCCTGATTGCATTCTGTATGGATGGAGAGTATCTGTATGAGGTCTGAGGTTATAGGCTCTTCTGCCTATCAGACAAAGGTCTCCTGGGGGCCAGGAGTCAAAGCTAACCACATTTCAGTTCAAAGTTATTACTAACTACACAAAATCACTTCACTATTGTACCTTGCCTTAATATTGAAGAGAGTGATCCACTCTCCATCCTTGTGGTGGATTCTCCATCACTGAACTGTTGCTAACATGATGGAG